CTCCTAGAATTGATAAAGAGCATCATCATTAACAGAGAGTAGGTGCCTATAACCTACTCTTCTTGCCCATAGTGCTCGATGCATCATTACCAGGCTGGCCTCGACCAGCTCCACCACCACCACCTAGACCTAAAATGTTATTGAGGATGTAGGTTTCGCATTGATTAGAAATATGAAGGAGATGATGAGGAGGAGCAGTAGTAGCATCATCATAATCATCATCAGCCTAGTAGTACTACTATTGTTATTACCTGAGAATAGCTCAGCAAAGGTATCGTTACCAAATGGTGTTTCCCCAAAACTATTAGTTCGATGGACACTTTCCTTAAAGAACTGGGCAAACATATCATTGGGATCACGTGAGAAGGTATAATGGAAACCATGAGGAGCACCCTGGAAGCTGATAATAAGGAACAACAACGCAGATACAACAAACTAGTGATAGTAGTAGTAGATACGTACTTTCCAGTAGTGTAGTATCCTTGGGCATCAGGTTGTGATGGACCAGGGCCACCTGGAGCACCACCCTTAAGGCCTTCCTCTCCGTATTGATCATATACAGCCTTCTTCTGTGGATCACTCAAGACATCATAAGCTTCGGCTACCTACAACACCACGAAGATGGGGATATGCCTCTAGTCGAGTTATTACCTCTTTAAACTTCTCTGCTGCAGCTTCTCTGTTATTGGGATTCTTATCAGGATGCCACTTTAACGCCATACGACGATACCTATGATGATGATTATATCGTAGTAACATCGACTAACACTCTGGGACGACGAACTCCTCTGCTTCTGCTGCTACTTCACTTACGCTTTCTTGATAACATCCTGATCAGCTCCCTTCTTCACTCCTAATATACCATAATAATCTTTTCCCATTACTATGAGATAATAATAACTCAAACTACTACCATTCCTACTCCTATTACACTACCCAGTTGGACCCTCGAGTGAACAACAACAACAACAATAAGTATGATGACAAGAGACAGTATTCTTCCGCTGATGATAGTCTCTTCAGTAGCAGTCCTTACCACCTTTACGACGGGTATAACCTCCTACTATTAAGGAAGAGATATTCATTAATAGTTTATAAAATAATATATCCTTAAGATTTGTTATTACTCACACTTGTGAACAACAGCCTCCTCAAGCTGCAGTGAAGTTGTTTTGTGTCAGTTGTCCCCACTTCTTATTCTTCCTGACTGCCATCGGCGCCGTCTTCCAACGCCTATCAATGCCCTCATCATCAAACTCTTTGTCATTATCGTTGTCAGGGCACCTCACAACCACCAAGTCCACAGAGCCCCGCGTAGACCAGGGACTATTATATAACAATGAGCAGATAGGCTCCTATGGGGTCATTAATGAAGTATGTTAGTAGTGAGGTATGTTGACCTGATACAACTTGATACTCCTCTTGATGACGATGCCATAATACATGAGGAGCTTACCATAACAACAACAGTAGCAGGAGCATTAGCCCCGGTATAATGATGATGATGATACACCTCCAAAGTCGATGATATATAACAATCGAGATCTCTAATATCTACCTCTTACGATATTATCCTCAATCAGTTGGGTGTGATTGTCTTCAAGTAGAGTATCGATGGTTATGGGAAGAGCTAGTCCCCCCAGTAATAGTAACTAGGACTATACACTAGCTGTTTGTGATGATGATGATCATTATCAAGGTATACACACAGTACCTGTTGACGGTCAAGGTCTTCCATGAGGATCACCAAGTTTGAAAATAACTTGATGGCGACCATGGTACCATCAAGTAGAGTCCCATTATAATCCATACCGTAACTTCCGCAACCAAGCATATTATTGATATAGAACCTCTCTAAAGGATGATACACCATAAGTGAATAAAATGGCGAGACGCTAGCAGTGAGTGAACATGAACCTTGAAAGTAAATTAATTGGGTTTAATTATGGGTTTAAACTAGTGTAAACTAGATAACTAGGATTATTGCTGTAAATGTAAGTTGAGTGAAAAGTTATGGTACTGATAATGACAATAATAATCCTGCGATTCTTGCTGTTAATGGTGATGAGGATCAAGTTTGGTAATAGAATTACGAATTGTTGGTATGAACAACTGTACAAAAATGTTGATTATGATGAGTATAGTCTTGTTCATCATCATCAACATTCAGTTTGTTGATATCTCCTCCTCCTTCACTTCGTCGTCGTCGTAGTAGTAGATTCACTCTATCATCATCATTATTAATATTCGAATTAACATTTCTATAGAGTGATGGATTAGCATCTAATATAGGCCACGTATTAACAAAGTGATGAGGAGTTGTATGAATATCCACATGCCGATTGGTAAACATTGTTTGACTCTAAGAAGGATACATTAATAAGATATTATTATCATTATTATATTACCCGTTCACTGGCTAGTGTTATTATTATAGTAGCTATATTAGTAGCATCATCAATACCACTATGTTGTCGTCCTTTAAAGGTTAATCCAAGCATTTCTAACATCGTTGATATACTACACCATTTCTCCAATCGTAGGGCGTATCTATCATCATCATTAGTAGAAGTAGTAAGTAGTGGGAGTATTAAAAGTAGTACTGGAAATGGCGTCTAACATCTGCATAATGTAATCCCCATTGTGGTATTGGTATACCTTTACGTAGGCATTCAGGTACTAGGAATTTAAAGATATCCCAAGGGCCATCAGTACCTATTAGAAGACAACATTCAATAATAATACTACTAGTAGTAGTAATATCTAATGATGACGACATCATTGGCAACCTATTACATATAACGAATTGGCTATCATCCATATCTCCTTCTCCATTATTCCTAGATAGTACCCTTCTTGGTGATGTATTGATTGACCTTAGCCTTTGTTGTTGTTGTAGTAGTACTAATGACTGGGCCTGCTTCTTCGATAAGCGGCCTATAGGTGTAAGGTTATGGTCATCGAGGAATTGTTGAAACATATCCAATACCTGTTTTAGACATATAATAATAGTATAAGTATAACAGCAAAGATAGATGCACCTCATGTAACTCTGGTGCATTATTCACTTGTTCCTGTACTATACCAGTAAGCTGCGTACAGAAGTCTGTTAAAGCTCCTAAAATAAAGTGTGTATGGCATAGTAGTATTGTTAATATTAGTACTCTGTTCAATTGGTTTAACATATGAATGGAAGTTGAAGCTGACTTGAAGAGTAAGAGAATTAACAAATACTACTGGAAACTCAATTATCTCGTTTAACCATTCAGCTTGTTGATCGCAACAAGTGCCTTAGAAGCACTGATATCCACCACCAATACTCAGTATTATTATTACATTCAAAATCCAATGCTGCATAATAGAGGACCATTATTGATAATATACTCACTAAAAAGGAGTTATTAATTAGTATTACACCACAGCAAGGTAACAGAAACATGTCAACAGTTCTCTGTAATAATAATCATACTATGAATGGTGATTTAAAGATATCCTCAAGCTCTTGACGATGGAAACCTTTAGTGATGGTAGTATGATCATAATCATTAGTTATATCACCCCACCTACTTCAATAATACTATCACCATTACTATTACTACTATTACCTCCCTTTAGAATAGGATATATGTTGACGGGCTAATTTGATTGAGGTCGGACTGTATTTCAAATACACTGGTGGTTTATCAGGCTTATGGAACCATTTTAATGCAACCAACGCACCTACAATTAATATAATAACTATTATACAAGATGATGTTGATAATATGACCCTCAGTGATGATGCATAATCTTGTATACTCCTTCGTTCGGTC